AAATATTCAGTTTATTGATTTTCTTAAAGCAACAAATGTTCAGATCAATTAATGCTCCTGAAAAGTCATATCATGTTGTGCGACTGATAGACAACTGTGTGACCACAATGAAGAGCACCACATGTTAGAATGCTTTCAACTATTAATACCTTCATACGCTTCCTGTCCTGTTGGTTTCCTTTAGATATGTGAAAAATTTTCCTCCACGATAATTCAGAGGAAACAGGTACAAAAACATCCTTTATCCTCCTAGAGTAACAAAGAAAACATCCAAAAAGCTTTTCTTGGGAAAAAAACGATATATTTTCTATCTTAAACAATACTGTGTCGCCTTGTACTTTTAGTCACAAGTCAAGTACAGAGTTTGTATTTTCTCTGGGTGCTAATGTGATAGACGAAACACAAAATATGACATAACTGCAAAAAGGAAACAAAAAAAGGAAACAAGACCTGAAAGTCATTAAAGGTTTTAACACCAACTCAGCAAGTCTTCCCTTGGTCCACCAACCCAGCATGCATCTAGAATTAAACATGAGCTCATATTTCACAGAATATTATAAGAACTTTCTTGCAGAAGCACTCTGGCCCCCAAAGGCCAGTCCTATGCAATGCATTCTGGCTTTTAGAGTCTTGCTGTAAAATTTTCATCTGATTTGGACAAGAAGTAGATGGTGGTTAGAAACAAGGAAATGGATTGGCTGCGTTTTTGGAGGTCTAGTGGTGTACAGTAAAAGGGGACACAGCACAGTTAAAATGACACTGTGTAATACTGACATCAAACTATAAGCTATTAGAATAAGACCATAACTATCTGATATAGGAGTTCTGTTATTGTAATAGCAGTTTTGCAGTCTTACTTGTGTTTGCACAACTACAGCCTGTGATGCTCTGGTTGTGCTCATCCGTAGGTTGCAGACACAGCATCCACAGGAAATGTTTCCCAACTCTGCACACTTTAAACTTAGTCTCTTTAACTTTCATGGTGCTTAAAACACCCCTAAAAGGTGAGAACTTGATGCTCCACTATTTTTTTTCTATTTTTTTTTTTGTACTTAGCTTTTTTTTTTGATCAACCTACAAAACTTTCAGCAAAACTCAGGCCTAATGCTAAGACTGGATCAAAACTGTCTACTAAACCGAAAAAGAAAGAGACAATGGAATATAGAAAAGCAGAAATGTTTTTTGTTCCATAAGAGGAGATATTTGAGAGTGACTCAGGTTTAAGAAACTAAAAAGAGAGATCCACGCTCTAAAGATTGAATTTGTCAGTAATTTCGCTCTGAAAGACATGTCAGACGTGGACTTGGTGGAAGGGAAACTACATGTTCATCATAGGCAATAAGCATAAGGAGGTCAGTGTGCAGAAGTCTGATGTAGAAAAAAAGGAAAGGTTATCAGGAAACTTATATAAATATAAAAATATCCAATCTGTTATACATATAGAATCCATGTACATAGAACATAGCTATTTATGAGTGATAAGCACAATTCATTTTCATATTTAATATTTGTGGAAAATGGATGAGGCTTCATTTCGCAGTTAGTGTATTACACCTGAACGCCTCATTCTATTTAGGCAACACCTGAATAGAATGAGCTAACATAGGCAAAACAGGACTACTTTTAGCCATATTACATCTCATAGAATGGATCGACTGTCCAAAGCAGCTTTTAGGAACAAAATAATTCAGTAAATTTATAAATCTGAGAAATCACGCTCAGCAAAAAGCTCCACGCTGCTCTTTGATCAGTCCATATATCAGACTCTGAAGGTGTCATTAATAACATTTCGTTTTATTTACTGTGGCTACCAGCCATATTTATCAGACTCTTAACCTCACTCACCAACACTTTATTTTAACTGCGCTTTTTTTTCTCCACTCTCTTGTTTGCCATAGGTAACATTGAATACCTGATCAGTCGGCTCATTTAAATGCTAAATGAGATTCATGCATTGCTCTGCATGGACCATTTGTGGTTAAATGCTGACATGCAGATGGTGAAGCCTGTGGTGGAACCTAGGACACAAACTTTGAGGCACAGGTGTGATCTATAAATAAAAGGCTCTGACAGTAAAATCCTTGCAAAAATGCTTTCTTAACACAATACCTATGTTAATCTGAGAAGATCAGACTTGATTTATTAAAAACTGTCAGTTACCTTCAAAATCACTCAGACATTTAGATATTTATTATTCCAAAGATTGCATTTAATGCTAAAAAAAAAAAAAAAAAAAAAAAAAAAATTTTGACCAGGCGGTGTGTAATTACCTTTTATACAGTTTACAGTTTTTTATACAGTTTTTTTCTTTGAAACAGAAATGTATTCATTGGATTGAAATCCTCTATTTGTTACTTGTAGCTTGTGTGTCTCAAACAATTGAATATAATCCCTGGCCAAAGTCCTTTGTAATAATGCTAATATAAAATTAACAGTAAGAAGTGGTATTAAAAATAAAGTCTTATTATATGCTGATGACATACTGTTATATCTGACTTACCAGTAGTGCTGGATGTGTTTAATTTATATACAAGGATTTCTGCATCTGAAATAAATATGCAAACAAAGGTAAGTTATCTCTCTTTATCCTAGTCACTCTTTGTCTCTTCCAATTAAAATAGGTGTTCATAAAATAAAATACTTGAGACCTGAGAGGTATAAAGCAGTGTGTGGCAGTGAGCTTGTCGCAGGTGTGACGCAGACATTTTTGATTTATTTAAAGCTCTTTATGAGTCAAATTTCCCCCCTCTCTTGAGTAGTCTAAAGACCTGGCCTGTCTCTTACTAATATCTCTAGGAGGGAGAATAGATATTATAAAAAATCATTTTATGCCATGTTTTTTTTTCAATGTTTATGCATCTTTTACATAAAATGTTTTTCATTCTAAAAGTAAGCAGAAAACCAGTTTTATATTAAATATAATGACCCTTCCAGATTATGAATGGAATACTTAAACAGTACCGAATGAATAGACTATCTCTAATTAACTCTCAGCATAATTAGTGCTCTGCTAATATAAAAAAAACTGTTTTACTGAAATGATTTTTTTCCAGCTTTTATTTTCTTTACACTATCAAAAGTACACAGCAATGAAATGAACTCTCTGTGTTTATCCCCTTGGGGAGCAGTGGGCTGGTATTGTGCGTTACCCGGGGAGTGTGGGGTAAAGGGTCTTTGATCAGGGACCAAGAGTGTCAGTCTGCGGGAGTGGGGCTTGAACTCAGAACCTCTGGATTCCAAGCACAGTGCCTTAACCACTAGGCTGCACTTTACCACTGGGTGACAGTGGTCCAAAGGGGCTGCAGAACAGTCGTCATGCTTTCTTCAGGACACTTATCCCTCTATTTTAACACCCCAATTGTAAAACATTCTTTAAAAATATGGACCTAATTTTGAAACTTTTTTTTTTTCTCTTAGCTCTTAGCTTTTTTTCCTCTTATCGTTTCTCAGCAAAAAGATTCCTGGTTTGCTTCCCTGCCCGGGGTCTTTATGCATGGAGTTTGCATGTATAACCGAGAGCTTCTGCTGTTCAGTACATTTGAATAACTTTCTTTTTTTGTGGCTCAGAGTTTAAGTGGCTGTTTCTGTTCTGACCCTCACCCAGAAGTTGTTTTGGGCATGTTTGTGTAAGTTAAATATTCTTGACCTTACATACGAGTATATTTCTGTAACGAATATTGAAACTCAGTTTCAGAGGGTTGTAAATTTGTTAATCTATATTTGAAAAGTACGGTGCAGTTAGAGGGCTGCCCAGTAGCTCAGTGGGTAGCACTGCTGCTTTGCAGCTAGAAGGTACTGGGTTTTACTCCTGGCCTTTCTGCATTGAGTGTGCATGTTCTCACTTTGCATGCATGGTTTCTCTTCAGGTACTCTGGCTTTCTTCCATAATCTAAAAACATGACTGTTAGGTTAATATTGGCCTGTATGTGTGTGAATGGTTGTTTGTCTGTGTTGCCCTGCGATAGACTAGTGACCTGTCCAGGGTGGACCCCGCCTCTCGCCCATTGAAAGTTGGAGATAGGCACCTCTTCCCCCATGACATCAACTGGATAAGCGTGAGAGAAGATGGATTCCAGTTAGACTGTCAAATTTCTGGCCAACCCATGAAAGATTGGGCAATTTAACAAAATTGAGTATTTACTTCTTTTCTAAACTGTTTAAAATGAAAAATAAACTGTTCAATATATATTAAATTTATAGACTGTTGGTTCAACTTATTTGGTTACATTTATCAAAAGAAAACTGGCAATGATTACCTAATATTAGTGAGTAATGTAATATAATGCAACAAAGTAAATCAATATGTGAAGCACAAGAAAATAATTAATATCTACTTAATTACTTCATTACATCAAATATTACAGGGATATAAGATTTACTTAAAATTTTGAGTAAAATGCTGTTTGTGCCTATGAAAAACAAGCACACTTTACTTAATTTGTTTAAATAAATCTAACTTACAACTTGGATGTAATTAAGTAAATGTTACTTAATATCTTCACAACTGTTATGTCTGGAAAGTAAAATTCACTTGATACTGGCAAGTAAGTGTTACTTGATATTGCTGCATTAAATTTTACTTAAATCATTTGCGTGCAAATACTTTTTAAGTAAATCTTATGAGATGTTTTTTTTCCAGTGTATTGTTGTCTGTTTTTGCTGTTTTGTTTTATTTTCTCTCTATTTAATTCAATTCAGTTATTCAGTATTTCTATAGTGCCAATTCGTAACACATGTCATTTAAAGGCACTATACAGTTCACCAGATCATACAGTCAAATTGATTCAAAGTTTTCTATCTAAGGAAAACCAGTTGATTGCATCGACTCAGTGACTCAAATGCAATCCCTCACATTAAGCATGCTTGTAGCGACAGTGGAGAGGAAAAACTCCCTTTTAACAGGAAGAAACCTCCAGCAGAACCAGGCTCAGTGTGAGCGGCCATCTGCTGAGGCCGACTGGGGTTCAAGGAGACAGAAGCAGAGATACAAAAATCAGCTGTAGAAGGTGTCCCCGTCCAGGAAACACACAGCCAGGCAGACGAGCTCCGAGCCAGCTCCCATGTCAGAGGATGAAAAGAGCACATCCAGCCAGTCACAGTCAGAGAAACAGAAGTACCCCAAAAAACAGGCCGATCTCCAACATCTATAAATAAAGGTGTTGATGGCAGCAGCACAGCTGATATTTCTCTCCAGGATGGAGTCACAGCCAAACAGGAACAGACCAGATGAAGCTACTATGAGAAAAAGCAGAGAGAGCAGAAGGTTAGAGATTAAACTTACAGATTCTGCATGGTGGGAGAATAGAGATAGAATGAGAAAGAATGATGAAAAAGGGGTCCCCATGTCCTCCAGAAGACTAAGCCTATAGCAGCATAACTACAGAGATAGCTCATGCACTCTTTTTCTCTTTATCTCTCTGTCACCCCTCAGTTCATATGCACTCTCCTTTCTTACTTATATTTCCATCTTTGTGTAAATGGTAGAAGATATTTCTCGCTAAATGCTTACCAATAAAGTTTCATATAAGATTACCAAGTGGGACCTATGGCAACAATAATGGTCTGCTTATGAAAGCAAACCTGTTGGGCCATCCTGGTCATCGATTTCCAAAGAAATATTGGAATAAGATACACAACAGGAGGAAATCATTCACAGTTGGTCTCTAATTAGTCTCATGAAGCTAATGGATAGGCTATTTATTTTGTCTTATCAGAGTAAATAGGGCTGAAGACAAATGCATGGTACATTTTCACATTTTTATTTGTTAAAAAAGAAAATATAAAAAAAAGATGTTCCTTTTCCTTCAACTGAAAAACCACACAATATTTTTGCTGTTTTATCACCTAAAATCACGTTTACCTATTACCTTTTAAGGATATATAAAAACAAAACAGTTTTGTTATCTTTTCAGGTTGCAGGAGAACAAAAGTACCATCCTGAGTGCTTCACATGCATGAGCTGTGAAATGGTTATCGGAGATGGAGACACTTATATGCTTATTGAACGGTCTAGACTTTACTGGTGAGTAAGAAGAAATGAACAATTTATAAACATAAAAGAAGTCAGCTGACACAGATTTAGCAGACTAATATTTGTACTGTCTTTCATCTCTTTAGCGGCCAGTGTTTTTGTCAGGGTGTTGTTCCAGCTGCCAGATCAACGTCTCTTACACAGAGACCCCACATGGTGGCGCTAGTGTTTCTCCCTCCCACTGCGACTGGACAACGAGGCCTAACAATTTCTGCTGATTACAACCTGGAAAAAAAGCTTCTCGTCACTGTTAAAGAGTGAGTCTCTATAGCTGAGGCATTCGACGTTTCTGTATAAACTTATAATGTCCAAAATTAATTTGGGTTTTATATAAAAATCCAGAAAAAGTTTCCCATTCATGTTTCATAAGTGACTAATAACAATTTCAATAAATACTGTTTATTTAATTAAATATTCTTATTGACACAGTCAATGGTTATAACTCTGCTTCAGTTTAGACCCAGCTATCCTCAGCTCTGATCTGCTGTCATCCGTCCAAAGAGGAGATCAAGTTTTGGAGGTTAATGGCATCCCGGCCCGCAACATATCCCCAGATGAGGTACCTGGTTCATATCAATCATAATATTACCTCTGTTTGATAAAGTGTCTTTTGCCAAAAGACCAAAGCTTCTTTATTTTCTCTAGATAAAGCGTGTGATCCAAGATACAAGCAGACCCCTCCAGCTCATCATTGAACACAATCCACAGTCTCCTCATGACCCTCTCCAACCAGATCATCCCCCAAATAACAGCAGAAGTCCCGACTCTAGTGTCCACGACAAACTCCCTTCAGTTAGTAATCTCCCAAGTCTAGAAGAAGAGCCGAGTACACCGGAGGAACCACAAGAGCCACTCTCCCCACCTCAGCATCAAGGAAACACATGGTTACGAAGCAGGAATGTTCTGTAAGTGATGAGCTCTGTCTTTCAATCACTCTTTTATTTCTTTTGTCTTAGTTTCCACCTGTTTTCCAGGCGAAGCTACAGCATAGATAAGTGTCCCCTGTCTCCAGGAGCCTTGTCTTTACTTTCCCAAAAGAGAGACATGGTTCGCTCAGAGTCTCTTCGGGTGGACCCAGGGGAACGGACACACCGTATCTTCAGGCCATCAGACCTCATCCATGGAGAGGTGCTAGGCAAGGGCTGCTTCGGTCAAGCTGTGAAGGTGCTTTTACTGCAGCCAATTATTCCAACCTTTTATTTCAAGACTTTTCTACTGAGCATAATTTAAAATCTTTACATTAAGGTAACACATCAAGAAACGGGGGAGGTGATGGTGATGAAAGAGCTAATACGCTTTGATGAAGAGACCCAGAAGACATTTTTAAAGGAAGTAAGTGGCTATACAAAAGGAGAGGTCACATAGGAGCAGGAAAAAAAATACATCAAGTCTAATATTTGAATCTATTATCATTTATCTGCGTTGCAACTTTTTACCATCTACACAGGTAAAGGTGATGCGCTGTCTTGACCATCCCAATGTTCTCAAGTTCATTGGATTGTTTTACAAAGACAAACGGATACATTTTATCTCCGAATATATCCAAGGAGGAACTCTCAGAGAAACTATCGCGAAAATGGTGAGTTTCAAGCTAATTTAAAATCCATCTCTGTTATCCCTGCAAACACAGAGGATTTAAACATTTTTTTTTGTTTTTTAGGATGAAGATTTTCCCTGGAATGTAAGAGTGGGATTTGCCAAAGACATAGCAGCAGGGATGGTGAGTGTCACAGTGCCTAGTCAATGTTTTCATACCGTCAGAATTGTTATTATTGTAAAAATAAAATAGCAAATCACTGTAACATGGAAAGAAAATATCTAGTTTTTATCTCTAATAGTTGAAATTCTGAAACGTGTGGTATACATGTGTTATCAATCCCTTTTTTTAATATACCATATATATTCTGATCTCTCAAGGCTTCAGAGGTTTAAAAATATGTCAAGCAAGCATAAATTAGTGACAACTTCATAAGAAAAATTAGTTCATACACCTGTAGGACCAAAAAAAGAAATAATGACTTCTTCTACAAAAGATTGTAGTAGTAGGACAAAATACAAAAAAACACCAACCTTCACAGTTTTTGATTGGTGAAAAACGTTAAAAAATACATATCTTTGTCCACTTCCCAATTACACATCCTTTTTGTTTCTGTGCATGGCATAACATTCCTGGAATTGTGGCTTTAATGTAAAAATATAATCGCTATTTCGAGGCATTGTAAATGTTTACACTCCTGTAAAGGTGTTTCAAAGGCATTAAAAGTTATGACTAATTTAATAATTTCTCCTTTAGGCATACCTCCACTCTATGAATGTGATCCACAGAGACCTAAACTCATACAACTGTCTGGTCAGAGAGGTGAGCAATAAGCCTCAATAAATGCATTAAATATAAAATGCAAATATGTTGGATATTAAATAAAATATAGAGCTAAAGTATAATATTATTAAAACACAAAAGCTATAAAATTATTCACGTTTTTCCCTTTTTTTATTAAGTCTTTTAAATAACACAAAAAACATAGCCACTTCTTTTAGTTAACATCCTAAAGCTCTTAATTTCACTTCTCTTTAGAACCAAAATGTAGTTGTGGCAGATTTTGGTCTTGCCAGGCTGGTGATGGATAAAAGAAATAGCAGCAAAACTTCGTCTCTTGAACGCAGCGTAAAGGGGCCTCTGTCAGTCAAACCTGACCGCAGAAAACGGTATACAGTGGTAGGAAACCCCTACTGGATGGCCCCTGAGATGATCCATGGTGAGTGCAGTAGGATGTAGAAGATAGAAACCAATGAATGATGAAATTTCATGGTCTAAATAGAAAAAAATGAATAAAAAAACTCTTATTTTTCCATATTTGACCTCTAGGGAAAACCTATGATGAACGTGTGGACATATTCTCCTTTGGGATAATGACCTGTGAGGTAAGACCTTCATTTAAAGCCCAAACATATAATTTATTACCCAAAATACATGGTATTACTGAAAAAATATGATGGATAAAATGTTTTTTTAACTTTATTTTTTAATTGGAACTTATAGAAATATTATTAGTACTGCCTAGAAATTGTTAATAGATGTTTACCAGTAACTGAAGTTCAAAATGTAACAAAAAATGTACATAAAAGGGATCTTTAGCCTGTCTTCACTGGGATGAAATGTGATTTTTTTTGTCTTTTATGTGCTGTTTCTAAACAGATGTGATGTTTTGGAAAACCAAAAACAAGCACTATTAAAATGGGCCACAGAATTCATTTTTTATTTTTTTTTTATTATGCTTTTTTCTATCTCTATGTAAACACAACCTTAGACTTACTCCCCTTGTGGTAATAAAATATTATACCTAGATGCTGTTAAAAATATGACAAAAAGGTTTAATAAAACATGTTAAACCCTTATACAATATGTATAAAGAAAGGAATATTCTTATTACTAACATAGAGAGGATAAATCCCCTTAGGAAGACATTAAAAAGAAAAACTTTATAACAGTTTACAGCGAAAAGACAGCTTTAGACTAGTTTACATTAGATAATTTACAATTCTACCAACCTCTTCACATATTTGGTTTTGATGAGCATCTTCCAGCTGCTTAGAGATTGATGATGTACATTTTAGGATATAGAACTAAGGTCTTACAATATAAGTTATCAGCTCTCAGTTCTTAGGAAGTGACATATTAGCTATTTTTTTTTTTACAATTCAGTGAAATCTTGATGAACCAAACAAATATTTGAGTTTAAAAAATCTACATTCTGTCATAAAAACATGCAGCATCCCTTTATTTTCCATTATACAGCGCAGATCAAAATGGATTAGTCAAGCTTTGAACTCAGCGGCAGAGGACCATGGCCATATTGTGAAAAGGCCATTATCTTTTTAGGAATAAACATGTTTTTAGAGTATATAGAGTTACTTTGGTTCCAGTTTTTTTTTTTTTTATGACCGAATAGCATGTTTTGTAAGTAGAAAAAAAACAAAACATATGTAAATAGAAATTTGAATCCTGTCACTTTTCTTTTTTAGACTGAGTTTTACGAATTGCAGGTCTTATCCTCAGGACCTGAGAATAGATTTTTTCTTGGATTCTTTTTCTCTTACCTGTAAACTTTTAATGTGAAACCTGAGATCTGATAGGTTTTCTCCCCAAACCAGAAACTGAGCACTAAAAGGCTCACTATGGCGCTTTAGCTTTGAGATGCTCAGCTCGTGGAGGGTGTCCAGTGATTACAGTGATGCTATTTTCAAAAGGTCCTGTAGGGGGAGAACTACTCAAAAATTATTTATTGCTACCCTACAATTTTGTTCATTTTTGTTCATTAAAAAGATAATTAAAACAAGCATAATGTTACCCAGAAAATAATATCATATAAAACTAATAAACTTTTTAGTGATGCATACATTTTATCTCTCATTGGAAACAATGAGGACCTTACAGTTGTCCAGGACACAGTCAATGTCATGTATAATAATAAAAATCACTTTAACATGACAACTGGCTTGGATTTCATCTGCTGAACTGTTTCCTCCCCAGAATGAGTCCCCTGTGGAGCTAGTTCACTATTGTCTTTTCTAACATAGAACGTTTTTATTGATAAGGTACTTCTATGCTTGTTTTCTATGTCTGCTTCTGTCTCCTTGAACCCCAGTCTGCCTCAGCAGATGGCCGCTTACACTGAGCCTGGTTCTGCAGGTTTCTTCCTGTTCAAAGGGAGATTTCCTCTCCACTGTCGCTACATACATGCGCAAGGGATTGCTGTCGAGTCAATAAGTGTAATCAGCAGTTTTCCTTAGACAGAAAACTTTAACAAATCTGACTCTATGATCTGTTTGAATTGTCTCTGTAAAGTGTCTTGAGGTGACATGTAAATTGGCACTATATAAATAAAATAAATTGACTTGAATAAAAAAAAAAATTATAATCAGGAAGTAATGGGAGGCTACTAACACCGATGTCACAATGGGGGTGGAGTTTTGACAGGACCCAAATATAGACACAAAACTTAAGGTGGTTTCTTGAATGTTTAATTAACCAAAAGTCCAACAAAAGCAAAAATCCAAAAACATAAATCCACAAAAAATCCAGAAATCCTGAAAACCAAGAATACTCACAATAAAAAGGGGACAAAGTAATGACGACAAACCAGCCAAGAGTAACTGCACAGGAGGAGATTATATGGGAGACAGAAACAAAGACCAGGCTAATTAGCAGATTGGGAGCAGGTGTGGAAAGGGGCAACAAGGGAGCTAGGGAAAAGGAGACTGAAGCAAGAGGGCAAACAGGAAATATCTAAGAATACAATCATGAATACCTAGAACACAAGAATGAAAAATAAGACCAATGAAAACTCAGTGATAAAACTTGAACAAAACCAAAACTATGACAACCGACAGGGGAACACAAAATCCAGTTGCTTCTGGAGGGGCTTGGCGTAAAAACTGCAGAATTTGTTAGCCACCCCTGAATCTAAACAATTCTATATTTCTATAAATATATTTGCAATGGTAACATGCAGTTCTCTGATTTTCTAAAAAAATTTTGCATTTTCATATCCTAAACTGTTTGAAATAAAAATTGGAACCAAAAAAATAAGAGGCTAAAGTATTAGTGTGTCTAACAACTACCCTCTTTGAGCATGAATTAAATGGACTTTACCAGTCTTATTGCATAAGATAGGTATCTATAATAGCATCTGCTTATGGATTTCTTTTTTTGTCATCAGATTATTGGCAGAGTGAGCGCTGATCCTGACTACCTTCCCCGAACAAACAACTTTGGACTCAATGTGGAGGGTTTCATGCAGCAGTATTACCCTCCAATGTGTCCATCTGCCTTCCTGCCATTGGCTGTCCTCTGCTGTGACATGGATGCTGATAAACGGTAGGATGGTGCAATATTTTGTTTAATATGTAGTCAGAGGAAGAGCAGATATAAAATGAAGCATAAGTTGGTCTTTTTTTTCTAGAAATACATTTTATTTCCGTTTAAATTGAGGAGGTAAGCCAATGGATCAAGATGATTTATGTTTACAATTAGAAAATACAAACTTTCATTTTGTTTCAAGTGCATTATATCTTATTATCTTATCTTAAGGGGAAACCGCTCATTCCTTTGGCTGATCGTTTTATTTACATCCTCAAATGAAGGACAAATACACTTTTGAAATGTTGACTTATTTTCAATGTCATGATATTATAACATCATTCTTAGTTTCTAAAGGTTTTTCAGATGAAGAAATGCTATTCTTCTAATGTAATAGTCATTAAGATAAATTATAATTAATCTATTTATGATTCAAACACATTTCCATTAAATAGAGGCTTACTTCTGTAAATTTAAATATAAGGAAAAAAAAATAGAAAGTTTTAAAAGAACATGCATTACATTTCAATAAGGCATTTAGTTTTATATCATTAAAAAGGTTGGAGGTTTATGAAAATTAGTAATTGAAAAAAGAAAGACAGGTGTAAAAAATGAAGATGTTTTCCTTTCAGACCCTCGTTTTCAAAGCTGGAGGAGTGGCTGGACAACCTCCTTATGAACCTGGACATCAGCCTGCCTTTGCTCTCTGAGCTGGAGCAGATCTCTGCCGCCTTCTGGAAGAATCACAGTCAGCAAAACCAAGATGAAACTCCTGCAACCTGTGAACAAAACCTTTTAGAAACACTTGAAGAAAATCTGAGGCCTGAACTTTGTTCGGACAAAGCAAACAGCCACACAGAGCCAAATGAGTTTCCTCAACATCACTCCCAAGATAGCAAAGCTGACAAAGATGTGAATGGGGAGCAGCATGCAAATGGCAACGGTGTGAGGACATCACAAGACACAAATCCGCCCTGCTGTGAGTCTGTTGACTCAGACTCAGGGAAAAGTGAGTCTGAGTCTCATGAGGAATGCATCATTAAAGGACAAACGAAATCCCAGCATGAACCCTCAGCGGCGGGGCGCTCAAACAGGACTAGAAGAACGTGTCGTGTGCTGTGGGAACGATCTACAGAGGACAGCTCTGTTCTCTGAATGTCCGTTAAAATCACCAAGGCCAATGCTGTGGAACAGCCCTTTATTTTGTTTGAGGACATTGGTACCTTAACAAGAAATAGAGAAGTTCAAAATCAGCCAAGTCCCAAAACGTACAATTAAAGAATGTTTTGGAAATGATATGTAACTTGATATTCACTATTTTGCACATAAATCAGTATTTCAGTAGGTGTAGCTGAAGCCCAGCTCAATGGAAACATATTTAATGTCTGGACGTTTCCTCATTTATTGAAATATTTTAAACTCAGTATTTTTACAACAAAAGACATATTAAGAAAAATTGCCTTTTTTTATTGCACAAATTATCCCTAGTGGATAGACTATGTAATAACACCACTGTTTAGAAATGACCTCCAAGGTTTCATTTAACATTCTGCATTGCTGCATCTGTTTAATAAGGAAAATCATGTTTGTCATAAGCTGAAACTGTCCATCTCAAGGCTTTAGTTTCAACTATCATCAAAAGCTGTGAAACTTATTCTATTTTTTTATGCTTTGTTGAATTATTTATTAGATTATTTTTTCTTAGGAAACGTTAAACTCTGTGCCATACACTGAGCTATGAATGCTATTAAATTGTAGATAAACGACAAAGAGATATGTTTTTTTATTGTTCAGCCTGAGTCCCTTTATTTAGACAGAGTACAACTGAAAGACAGCAGCCCTTAAAGGAATAGTACACCCAAAACATGATTAGCCTTCATTTTCTACTCACCCCCATGCTGAACAACACTCTG